TATTTGGATTGACAACAATATGGATTAGAATGTAATGATTTTAGATTGGAAATAATCCGCGAAAGCGATATTAAAACCGATTATAGTTCGTTCGGAATTAAAATCGATTACTTTTTAATCCGGGCGCGGATTGAACCGATTAAAACCGATTAAAACCGATTAAAACGGATTATGTTTTAATCGGTTTTAATCGACCATTTTCGGCAGGGTATTTATAATGAAGCTGTCCAAGCTGAATAAAATTACAAAAATTAAAATAATTAAATTATAAAAGATGCACTTAGCCAAAATATAACTTATTATTATAATTATTTAACAAATTATTGCTGAAACCAAATTCATATTTATCTCATATCCATTACTTCTTGTGATGAAGTGTCAATGACAGCTCCTTCTAATGCTGATATCTTCTTTTTATTTTCATTTATTTTTACTATAATATCTCTCAGCTCCGATGTTTTGTTTTTTATTACTCGTTTGATATGCCTCTTCTGTATGCATTGCATTTGGATTGCATTGCAACTCTTTGCAGATAATTTTCTATTTTCTGTTTTTAATTTTGATATTTCCACATCTCTGCGAGAACTATCATACGAAAAGGTAGTCGTTTTTAAAAAATTTAACACGATAAAAGATATCTAATACTAAATTTAACAGATACGTATGCATATGGACACATATTAGCAGTATAACTGCGCTCATGGACATGTACTTATTAACCAAGTTCCTTAATCTTCTATTGTTTATTTAAAAATAGTATAAACATGTCTCAAAGCATAAACTCCTATAATGTTTGATTATCAGTTGTGTTCAAGATTGAAACGTTGAATTTAATCGATAAATTTAAACCGTAAATTCAACCGACAAATCTGAACGGTAAGAGCCGCAAGCAAAACACGAGCGAGAATAAACATCGTCGCGATCAGCCGATCGGCGCGTAATCGCGTGATCATAACAAAGAAAAAGATGCGTGATCGCATTCTTCTTAGAATGAAAAACGGTGACAAACACCTATATTCTCGAACATTCGGCGCCGAAAATATCCTATTATGGAAATCGGTCGACCGCGACTCTTTTCCGTCGTTATTCAGTCTGCCTACGACAACGATTCGAGCCGGTCGAAATTCATCGCCTTTTCGCATTCGCATTTCGCTTATTCTCGCTCGTGTCGCGTACGCAGTAGGCTTACTCGTCTCATATTCGGTCCGAATTGTCTCGCATAATATCGCATTCATATTCTCGCGGCGAGCAATTTGGTCACATCTCAATTCGTGTTCTTTCATTATTTAGTGCTCAGATATTGTGAAAGTTAATTGTTTGGAGTTCGAGAGTCGACGCTCGTTATCCGCATCGCGAATGTCCTCTGCCTCGCGCTAAATTCCATCCCGCGTTCGCGGTCAAGATTTCCGTTTTCGCGAGAGTTTCTAGCAAGAAGCTCTTAATCAAGATTTCCGAACCGCGAAAAAAGGGCAGTCATTAACAGGACATTTGAAGATCTCCGTCGGAATCGCGGATTACGTGCCGTCGCTCGCTCCTATTATTCAAAATAAAGGGAACATTACAAACAATCTGCACTCGATTCTTATCTCAATCTCCTTATCCTCCAGCGGATCTACGGATTCGCGTTACACACCGCTTCTCGCTCATCTCTGAGCGTTTCTCAAGATTCGGGCGATCTCGTCGAGATCGACTCCCGAACAAGTTGGATAATTTAAAAAATTGATCTATTTATCATATAAACAACAGCATTGACTTTGTCTTATATCGCCAATTAAACAATTATGCATTTCTCTTTTTAAGCGATGAGTGAAGTTTGGTTTTTTACTGGAAAAAAACCAAAAATGATTAAAAAAACCACAGATACCAAAGTGAGTTGAATTTTTTCCTCTGTTGTGCTTTTTTTTTCTTTAGCAACTGATCAGTAATTACTTTCTTGTGTTTGTAGCACCTATTTGATCCAGAAACACAAAACTTTGCAGAAATATCCAAAAAGCCTACATTTGTGGACCATTCACTACTCAACGAAATCTTCTTTGAAACAGGAAGAAAATTGTTTGTATCAGCTCCAAAGATGTTTTGCAAATCATCAAACATGAACATGATCAAGCATTTTTTTGAGATCGACAAAGAAGGAAAAGTAGAACCAGACTGGAAGAAGAGGCCACAGTATGAAATCTTCAAGGACAAGGATATTGTAACAAAGGAAAAAGAAGAAGATCTGAAGAACCATTTAGGTGCTTATCCTGTCCTGTTTGTGGACCTCAAAGGTCCTACAATTCGTAAATATGAAGATGCATTGGCGCATTGTTACAGGAGAATTAAGGATGCTTTCAGAAGGCATAAGGCATAAGGCATTTTTGCTGAAGAATATCCAAGATAAAGATGATAGAAATTTGTGCGAGATGTGGTTTGAATCCAGGACATATCAAGACGTTGGCGAACAAAATGTGAAAAGTGGTCTGACAGACTTGTGTGAATATCTATATCAGGCACATGAGGAAAAGCGCATTTTGGTTCTCATTGATGAATGTGACGCAGTTGTCGTATCTGCACTACGTGATGGTACTTCTGGTTGTGAGGTAGGGCAAATCGCTCAACTTATGTCAACAATTTTGTGTGAGATTACAAAGGGAGACATTGCTCAGGCAATAGTTCAAGGAGTGCTGCTTACAGGAGTTTCCTAAATAAGTGGTGTAGGATACACTCAAGATGTCAAAGCAGTTGCATGCAGATTTCTAGATGATACCCCTGATGCTGCAACAGGCTTTCTAAGAGAGAATATTATTCCATTTTACGGTCTTCATGAAGAACAGCTTGATGACATTTTAAAGAAAATAAGAGGGTCACTGAAACTCATTGATGACGAACTAGAAAGGAAAAAACATGAAATAAAGATAGACTTCAACGGATTCCACACAAAAATAGGGCAGAAATGCATATACCCTCTCTATATAGTTGCTATTTATTTGATTAGTGGAAAGATGTTAGAAGTAGAAGCTTCTCCTCTGCTTAGTACGTACAAAAAGGTACCAGCTGATATTGACATTGCCTCGGATATTCTAAAGATATTGGGGTCTGGCAACATAAATATCGACTCTGTTGATGGGAAAATAAATATAAAAGAACTTATAGAAATGCGGGATAATTCAAGTATGTCAAGCAAAGATGTTTTTTTCATTTTGCTTTTGGAAATAGGCTTCCTGACGTATGCAGAAAGTCCTGAATGTAATGATTTTAGGTGGAAACTCAGAATTCCCAATCAAACTACAAGCAAGTGTTTTCTAAAGATGCTGAAGACAGCTAATGTTATGGTTGGCAAGTTTAATAATGCACTTCAGGAAGCTTGTGCAAGACATATCAGTAATCTTCAAAGATATTTTCTACGGAGAGATATAGTCAACTTTAGAAAAACATTGATCTTGTTATATAATGATCTCAAATCCCTTTTCAAAGGGTTTGAGAACCAATATCCGACAGAATATAGCGAAAATTCTTTACAAGGCCTAATGTTTATGGTCCTCAGTAGAACATGTGATATGAAGGGATTTTCTAATATTTCTTCTGAGCTATGGATCAAAGATAATAAAGGTCGAAACGGAATAATCGATATCTGGATGTTTGATAAAGATAGGCAATTTGCCATAATGTGGGAACTTAAATACAATGCAGCACCACGAGACAAAAAGAAAACTTCTATTTATGCCTTAAAAGAATTAAGAGGTCAAGAAAAGAAAGCAGGTAGAAATGATGTGGTATGCTACATAGACAAATTCCAACAATGCAAAGTAACCGAGTATTTTATGGTGGGTCTTGCCATGGATGAAGCATATCAACCATCAATTTCTATAGCAACCAGCAAAGTCGAAGAAGCTGACGCAGAATCCTTCATCTGCATTTCAGAAACTGAGACAAAAAATTATAAGGAGTCATATCATCATGATAAATGTATTGATTTGTTACGTACGAGCTAACTAGAGTTTGCTTTTAATGTTATTCTACCAATCATATTGGCTTCTAAGATTCTAAGTATATTTTATGATTTTTGACAGTTTTCCAAGTGACCAATCACCAATCATTGTTTTAAGATATTGTTTTTTTAATTATTTTAAGCAAAAATAAGTATTTCTTTCAAATTCAGAAATTGGGGTATTTTTGGAATGTTTGAAAATTGTGTAATTTCTGCTACTTTTAATCATTTTTTTGAGCTTTTTTTCGAAAAAATATTTGTCCCAATTAGATTTTTTTAATTTATATTTTGACTTATATGATATACCAACAATCGGCAGTTGCTACCGACAAAAGAAGATCTAAATTGATTGTTAGTATATTGTATATAGCCTTTTATTATCGCGATTAATAATTTATGTTACAATTCTAAAGAACTAATGACGTAATTAAAGAACTATGACGTAATTAATGACGTTATTAAAGAACTAATCACATCATTCAATCATATATTTGAATTATCATTCAAATTGAAGACCACTGTATAAATTAATGCGCGCTATCTGACATCTTGGCCGTTACCTCGAAAATCATATAAAAATGGATGTAATTAAGACTCTTATTTGCTTCCTTAAATACGAATGTGCGAATCAAACAGGAAATAAGCTGGCCATCCAAATACTGTAACTTTTAAAAAAATACATGCAAAAGTACCTGATTTTTACATCTAGAAGAGCTTATTTGATTTATTAACATTTATACATATAATGATGTCAGATGTGAATATTATTCTTACGATTTTGCATTGCACAAGAGGGTGTAATCTTAAAGACCATCCCAGTCTCATCGATACGAAGGACCGGGCCTATATATATATAGACGATCTTTCCGCGATTTTTTATACGTATCTCATCTCCGCGGAACATTTCTTTGTGTCGCCACGAGATAAACGTCTTCGCTCTTTTGGTGACGGGACGAGAAACGGTTCGATACACTTATATAGCGTACGCGAATGTCCCCGTTCACTGTATATCTTCCCTTATTGTCTCGTCATTCGTTTGTGGACCGGTTGACAGTTTTTGCTCCTTCCTTCTCCCCTCTCTCCCTGGACGTGCCTGGATTGCCTCGTCCCCAATACTACGTGCTCCGATAATTAAGAAGTTTCCATTTGGAGTTGACATACGCGCGCGTGTCGCGATAATCTGGATATGCGTGTTTCGGCGACGGCGATCGGAAAAAAGCTAATCGTTATGCATCACGCCGGCAATTAATGGTGTATGATCGAAAGTCATGTTCCTGGAAGGAACGCAGATCGAACGGGCAAAAAATGCAAATACACACACACACACACACACATACACACACACACACGTATGCGTGCGTTTTGTGAGATTTATCGATATCGAAGATGAATCAGAGAATCGATGACCATTTTTAGTCCACCGCGTATTTATTAAGCACCCGCGTAATTGGACACAAAGGACGGTGACTGACAATGAGACTGCTTTTGTTAAATGAGCTCTCGGCATAAATATTTCGGGGGGAATAAGTAATTTGTTAATTGTTAAAAAACGAATTTTTTTCTTGGCTACATATATAGCTGTCCGATGTCTTATTATTTTAAAATTTTGACAGGCGTGTTATAGATGTATTTTCTGCTTTTGTGCGTAGTATTAATGTACCTAAAAAAACTTATCTTTTTAAAAAAAGGTAAAAAAAGGCGCTAAGTACACGCGCTATGTGAAAAAGTGTTAAACAAAAAAGTGTTATTTTTTTAAGTTAAAAAAACTGCTTTACGAAATAATGTCATTTTAATTGTACAAAATAAATATTTCAATTTCCTAAAAAGATTGATATAAAAAAATTCTGCCAACTGACAATAAAAATTATACCATAAAATTAATTTTTTTTATGATTATTTAAATAGAAACATTTTAATCAAAAATACTATTGTGCAAAATAGTTGTATAAATTTCCTATAAAAATAATGATATCAAAAAATTGCGCCAAATGAATAAAAAATTCTACTATATAAAATTCATTTTTTTTATTATTATTTAAATAAAAACATTTAACTCCAAAAAATGTTATACAAAGTAGTGTTTTAATTTCCTAGAAAAATAATCAAAAAATATCAAAAAAGATATCAAAAAATTTTGTCAACTTAATCAAAATTTGTTATACAATTTTTTTATTTTTGATATTAAAAAAAGTTAGATTTTAATAAATTGCAATATAATTAAAGTAGTAGGGCGTATAGCTATAGAAATTTACAAACGGCCCAATACTGGGCGAATATTGCTGTCAGTCGTGCCAGTACTGGCTGCCAGTAGTTACCAATATTGGACCAACAAAAGTCAAGTACAAGAGTGTAACACTATTCCATAATTAATTGCCGCTGCTGCCAATTAAAATGGAACATTATAAACTCGACAATTAACCAATAATGAGACAGCATTGTCTGCCAATGCTTGACCGCCGATATTAAGTCAATACTGGGCCGTTTTTCAGCATCGGCATTTTCTACGTAGGATATGCTAATGATATTAACGTACTTCGTATATTTACGTTGCAATTATTGGTATAATAATGTTTAAATTTAATTAATTATTTATTACATTAAGATACATTGCAGTTACTAATTTTGAAACTTAGCAGCGCCAAGCTTTTTTAATTAAAATTTTTTTTGTTTTTTAATTTTGTATTAATTTTTAATTTTCGCATAAGTTCTTGATTTTTTATATAAATTTGTGTAATTTTGTTTTTTGTTTTGTATTATATTTTTTTATTAAACTTTTTAGAATATATGGTTATTGAAATATACATATAATTGTTTATTTTATACCGTCTTACATAATTGTTTATAATAAATTTATCCCAAAGCGTTAGATGTGTGTATATTACAATTGTGCACTTAGTTATAAAATAACTCTATTTTATTAGTTATACGCCCTACTACTTTAATTATATTGCAATTTATTAAAATCTAACTTTTATTAATACCTAAAATAAAAAAATTGTATAACATAAATTTTTATTAAGTTGACCAAATTTTTTGATATTTTTCTAGGAAATTAAAACACTACTTTGTATAACATTTTTTTTAGTTAAATGTTTTTATTTAAATAATAATAAAAAAAATGAATTTTATATAGTAGAATTTTTTATTCATTTGGCGCAATTTTTTGATATCATTATTTTTATAGGAAATTTATACAACTATTTTGCACAATAGTATTTTTGATTAAAATGTTTCTATTTAAATAATCATAAAAAAAATTAATTTTATGGTATAATTTTTATTGTCAGTTAGCAGAATTTTTTTATATCAATTTTTTTAGGAAATTAAAATATTTATATTGTACAATTAAAATGACATTATTTCGTAAAGCAGTTTTTTTAACTTATAAAAAATAACACTTTTTTGTTTAACACTTTTTCACATGGTGCGTGTACTTGGCGCCTTTTTTTACCTTTTTTTAAAAAGGTAAATTTTTAGGGATTATACAGGGTGTTCCGGAACAACCTTCCGTCTGTGAAATGACGTATTCCTGATACAATTCTAAGACGATTTTTCCTTTACCAAAATTTGAATTGAAGCGTAATTTTTGAGTTATAAGCAAAAATAGTTAACAAATCACGCGTCGAATACAGAAGGCAGGCAGGAGCGGCGCGGCGCGCCGCGAGCGCCCGGCACAGCTGACCGTCTGATTACCACCGCATGAGCCGCTAACTATTTTATCTTACAATATAAAATTATGCTTAGCGTTAGATGTGTGTATATTACAATTGTGCACTTAGTTATAAAATAACTCTATTTTAGCTATACGCTTTACTACTTTAATTATATTGCAATTTATTAAAATCTGACTTTTTTTAATATCAAAAATAAAAAAATTGTATAACAAATTTTGATTAAGTTGGCAATATTATTTGATATCTTTTTTGATATTTTTCGATTATTTTTCTAGGAAATTAAAACACTACTTTGTGTAACATTTTTTGGAGTTAAATCTTTTTATTTAAATAATAATAAAAAAAATAAATTTTATATAGTAGAAATTTTTATTTATTTGGCGCAATTTTTTGATATCATTATTTTTATAGGAAATTTATAAAATTGTATATATTACATTGTATACATTCTTTAAATTGTATATAAATATATATCTATTAAATTTTTATTAAGCAATCAAACAATATATTTCATAAATATTTCCTATATATGATTCTTGCTATTTTTCAACAAAATAACTTATTTGTAAAGATGCATGTACAATATTATGCGAGTTATCTTGTATTTACAATAATATTAAATAAGAGCATATGTACTAATATTTATTTATAATAAATAACTATTATTTTGATCATGTCCGATCAAATCCGATGTAAGTGTATGAAGCACTTACCTGATTAAATCAAATGAAAACTGTCACACTTTTTATAAGCCACACAAGTTTCACAAATTTAATTTATATTATGCAGATCTGAAGATATTGTCGGTTATTACAATTTACAATTATTAACACTTGCGCCAAAAGAGGTTACGATGGTAACCGCATCTAACACTGGCGCCAAAAGATGTTACCATGGTAACCGCATCTAAACTAAAGACGTACATTTATCCATTGAATAGACCTTTAGTTTGTAGTTACCAAGGTAATATCCTTTAGCGCCACTGATTGCGAATTATTTTGAATGCGTTCCAAAATTTACTAGCGGTACTGCCAACATGTCATTATCCTTGTTTAACTTTTGATGAACAACAAAGATGACGATGCTGGCAATATTATCAGTGAATTACGGAACGCAGCCTTTGTAATATAACCACTTTACACCATCTTTTTATCATCTCTTCCTTGTCCCGGTAACATCGTCCATCACTAATCTCTTTGGTGAATAATCTTAATCAATCAATCAGTGAATAATTAGTGAATCTCTTCGTTCTTGGACAGCGCAGCATTAATAGAAGCCTAATAATAAAGAAGAGGAAGATATTTTTCATCTATGAAGTCTAAATGTAAAGACAAAGAAGATACAAACAAGACACAAGAAGTAAGTACATTTTTCCTTAATTATCATACGTATATACACACACATACACACGCAGAGAGAGAGAGAGAGAGAGAGGGAGGGAGAGGGAGAGGGGAGAGGGGAGACAGAGAGAGAGAGAGAGATAATTGTATCAAATTATTTCCTCATATCTATTGCGATCGCATTTAAAAGAGAAATTTGATGGAGCGTCTCGAACTACTTCAATCCTATTCAAGTGTCGCCGTGCGAACGATAACAAGACCGTAACACATAAACAATAGCGCGCTATTGTTTACATCGCCAAGGCCGCATACCATGTTATTGATAATTCGCAGCCGAAATTATTTGTGTATTATGATGTATATACAGAGTGTCCTAGACCACCCGTACACCTCTTTTCTTTCAAAAATTAAGCATTTTAGAGGGAATATTAAATTATACAAGTATTTTAAATTATAAAATTATTTAATAAACGATTAATATATCACGGAGCTTATCGTTATATTAATTACTCGGACTTGCGATTCGACTATTGTATTGCGCGTTCCCAATCCGAATCACATTTAAATCGTCGAAAAGTCAAACGATAAAGCATGGAACAAAATATCTTTACTCTAAATATTGATAGAAAAATAGTTATTATTCGTAAGGATCGGAACAAAACGATAATTTATAATTTAGATTTTTGTCACTTCGATTCCTATTTAAAAAAAAATTCTTACTTTATTTTATCGGTTTGAGAATGATTTTAATGGATTAATAAGATTTTTGCGATTAAAATGACATCAATAAACACAACATAAATCGGATAATTTTTAATTAAACTTATAATAAAAATTTTGATTACATATTTAACTAAAAATTATCCGGTTTATGTCGTGTTTGGTATTATTTTAATCACAAAAAATCATTAATCCATTAAAATTATTTTCAAACAGTTAAAATGCAAAATATAAAAGTTTTATTCTCTATGGTAATATGACATATATATATGTATATTCGTGAAATACTATATAATAAAGGAGAAAGACCCTCGCATATAAGAGACTTCGAAACTCTTTGACGATGCGTGATTTCGATTGCTCTTTACTTCTTCTTGCTCTTGCTTTCGATGACATCGAAGACCTTTACTTATCTATAATAATTTATTTATAATATTTAAAAATTATATATAATAAAAATTA